GGAAGTTCTGCTGGATTGGCAGACCGAGGTGGTGGTCCCCCTATTCAAAAAGGGGGACCGTAGAGTATGTTCCAACTATAGGGGAATCATACTCTTAAGCCTCCCTGGTAAGGTCTATTCGGGGGTTCTGGAGAGGAGGGTCCGTCGGATAGTCGAACCTCTGATTCAGGAGGAGCAGTGCGGTTTTCGTCCTGGTCGTGGAACACTGGACCAGCTCTACACTCTCAGCAGGGTCCTGGAGGGTGCGTGGGAGTTTGCCCAACCGGTCTACATGTGCTTTGTGGACTTGGAGAAGGCGTTCGACCGCGTCCCTTGGGGAACCCTGTGGGGGATACTCTGGGAGTATGGGGTACCGGACCCTTTGATACAGGCTGTTAGGTCCCTGTATGACTGGTGTCAGAGCCTGGTCCGCATTGCCGGCAGTAAGTCGGGCTTGTTCCCGGTGAGAGTTGGACTCCGCCAAGGTTGCCCTTTGTCACCGATTCTGTTCATAACTTTTATGGACAGAATTTCTAGGCACAGCCAAGGTGTTGAGGGGATCCGTTTTGGTGGCCTTAGGATCGCGTCTCTGCTTTTTGCAGATGATGTGGACTTATTGGCTTCATCAGATCGTGATCTACAGCTATCGCTGGAGCGGTTCGCAGCCGAATGTGACGCGGCCGGGATGAAGATCAGTTCCTCCAAATCTGAGGCCATGGTCTTGAGCCGGAAAAGGGTAGAGTGCCCTCTCTGGGTCAGGGAGGAGGTCCTGCCCCAAGTGGAGGAGTTTATAGCCCTTATCCACAAGGCCTTTTGGGGCTCCTATGTAACTAGTTCAGGCCAATTGCGTGGTTTATCCACAATGCCTTCAGCGGTGGAACCCACCCCATTTTTGGGACCTACTTCTCTGAGGTCCCAGGTCTGGTCCTTGTTGGGTCTAGATGTGACATCAGCGCACTGTAGGTCACTGATTGGTCAGGGGGCATATTCATTGGTGGAGGGCGGAGATCAAGGAGGTCATCCATTTTGGTTGTGTGTTGTTTTCCGGCTCTTCTTCTTCTAATACATGTTAGTGGTGCTTAAAAAAAGAGCTTAATGTAGCACTAGCGCTACCAGCTGCTAAGGTGCGTTGATATTAATAATCCGCCCACTAGAAGTGAACAATCCGCCCACTAGAGGTGAACAATCCACCCACTAAACGGGAACTATGGGCACTGTGGAGACAGGAAAAAAGAAGTCCCACCAGAACTGGACACAACAGGGTCCAACAAGAACCAGCCCTGTGGATAAGGGGCTCAAGTATCTTGGGGTCTTGTTCATGAATGAGGGAAAAATGGAGCATGAGATTGATAGGCGGATAGGTGCAGCATCTGCAGTGAAGCAGGCGCTGTACAGGTCTGTTGTGGTGAAGAGAGAGCTCAGTCAAAAGGTGAAGCTCTCAATTTACCGATAGATCTACGTTCCTATCCTCATCTATGGTCACGAGCTTTGGGTTGTGACCGAAAGAATGAGATCCCGGACACAAGCGGCCGAAATGAGTTTTCTCCGCAGGGTGTCTGGGCTCTACCTTAGAGATAGGGCGAGAGGAGCCAGTTGAGGTGGCTTGGGCATCTGTTTAGAATGCCTCCTGGACGCCTCCCTGGTGAGGTGTTCCAGACACGTCCCACCAGAAGGAGGCCCAGAGGAAGACCTAGGACAAGCTGGAGGGACTATATTTCTCAGCTGGCCTGGGAACGCCTCGGGATTCCCCCGGAAGAGCTGGCCCAAGTGGCTGGGGAGAGGGAAGTCTGGGCCTCCCTACTTAGACTGATACCCCCACGACCTGACCCCAGATAAGCGGAAGAAAATGGATGGATGGATGGATGGATGGATGGGTCTCACGGAGTCGTGACGACTCATTTTCAAGAGAGACCTGTTTTAAACAAAAACCACAGACGACGTACACACAACAATAGCCAGTCATGTTAAGGCTTTAAAAACTCTTCCCACACTCTTGCAACGTTCTTAACAATGTACCAAACTCTCTGAATTGATCATCTGTGGGAGGCATTTTCTATTCTAAGAGCGAAGGAGACACACTGATGCTACAGTTACTGAGCCAGTCAGCGCCCTGAGCAGGACACCGGCACATTTCCCAGTGTCCTGGTCTGCTCAGTCATCGCTGAGGGGCACTAAGGGCTCTGTTCAGGTCGTGCTTGATTCTTTAAATTAAGAATCCATGTCGCTCGTGTGGCTCACTCAGGTATAAGACATACCCGCCCCTTCCCCCCCTTTTTTTTGTCTGAGGCTGTGTGTCACAGCAGAGCAGACACAACATGCTGCCTGTCGTGTCTGCTCTGCTGTGACACACAACCTCATAAAGAGAAAGGAGGGGAAGGGGTGGGGTTTGTCTTTCCCCATTGCTACTACTCAGGGAGCGGACCAAGCCACCGGGAAATGTCCTGGTGCCATTGATGGCTAGTCCGCCCCTCAGCACAATGCTCTGGTTGGTCGCCTTCCATCAATCAGTCAGTCGTGTACAATCGTACATTGAAAACCCACGAAAGAGTCTGCGAAAGTCCAACCCCCAAGTATCGAGGGACTACTGTAATAAGTTCTACAGGGGCTAACAAAGTTGGCAGGTCCTCTGGCTGGATTCAAGAAAAAAAATAAAAATACAATTAAAAACTAGTTGAAATATTTGTCTTTTATCCAAAAGATTTGGTCAGTCTGAGGAGCTGCAATAAACTCAGTCTTATAAATAACACCTTCACATAGTGGACCAACCAGATGGTTTGGTTTCTCTTCACAAACATGGCTTCCTTTACTCCATTCCATGAAGATGTTCACATCCTGTATAGAGAGGAACGATGGTTTGAGAGAGGAGTAAAGGCGGCCATCATGAAAAGAAATCGTCCATCATTAAACTGGGCGGAGCCTCCGTGTTCAACTGTCCCCCTCTTACAATGCTGTTATTGCTAGTATCACTCAGCCTCCTGTGAATAGTAAACAGCCATCAGTGTGTTAATGATCCATTATTGTAAGGAGCTATTTATAAGACTGAGTTTGTTACAGTTCCTCAGACTGAAGAAGTCTTTTGGATAAAAGACAAAACGTTTTAAGAAGTTTTAATTTTTTATTTTATTTACTTTTTTTTTATGAATCCATCCAGAGGACCAGACTTAACTTTGTTAGATTTTTCTACCTGGATTATTGAGCAGCATCGGGATAAATTTCTTCAGGACTTTCTGAGACAAATCAGAACTTGTGTTTTCATTTCCTGAATACACCTTGTATTTTTTTTCTTCAACAAAGACTCATCCCTCAGACATTTAGTTGTAGCAACCATTGTCTGAGGAGTTCAACGTTGGAAATCGGGCTGCAACTAACGATTATTTCAACAATCGATTCATCGGCCAGTTATTTTTTCGATTAATCGATGAATCGGAAAAAAAAAAAAAAAAAAAAAACTTTTTAATTTCCACCCCTTTATTCCAAAATTGAACATTTGACTGACATAGCAATTGGCACACAAAAACAGGTTGCTATTTGACTATTCTGTTAGTAAAATATTGAATAAAAAATACGTTAGTCAAATAGCTTAAAAAAATAAATGTACACAAAAATATATACATGTCTTTATACTTGCACAATATGTAGTTGCTTTGTAAAATGTGTCCTTGAGGGAAGAGTGTAACCTGGATTAAAAGTGTGGATTATTGTAACCTGGATTAAAAGT